GGGGGGGGGGGGGGGGATTTTTTATTTTTTCCAACGTTATGTTTTATTGTTCCCAAAACATGTCTAATTATTTGAAAGCATAAAATCAAGTTTTATTTATTCTTACAATAGCCTAATGATTTTTTTCCTCGGAAATTCTGTGTTTTTACATTTAAGGCATAAAACAGTCATTTAATTTATCTTTTAATGAATGAAAATTAAACAAATGTTATTTTTGGAAAATACACCAATTTTTAATATAAAAAAGTGGTTTGAGTGAATTATTCAATGACTCACTCATAAATAGTTCACTTGTTTCATCACTGGATGATAGGGCTGGGTTTTGACACAAATTTCACGATTCGATTCGATTAAATATCGATTATTTTGGATATATATCAGGTACACATGCCCAATTTTCTTAAGGAAAAAAATACTCTTAACTAATGCTGTAAAATATGCATGAGAGTCCGTTGGTACTACATTACTATAATATTGAAGGTTAAAATTGACTGATTTTTTATGCTATACAACTGCTTAAATTACACTTCATGAAGTTTTTATAATAAAAGTTACAATTACATAATAATATTTCTACTTCAATTCGTTTTTGTTTTTTTTAAATAACTAAAATAAACATTTAAATAGTGGCTGTCATAAATAAATTTAAATTAAACATTGAAGAACAGTAAAAATGTAGTCTGTGTAAATGCATTCATGCCACATCTGAGCTGCATTAAACAGTCTGTGTAAAGGCATTCATGCCACATCTGAGCTGCATTAAACAGTCTGTGTAAAGGCATTCATGCCACATCTGAGCTGCATTAAACAGTCTGTGTAAAGGCATTCATGCCACATCTGAGCTGCATTAAACAGGCTGTGTAAATGCATTCATGCCACATCTGAGCTTCATTTGAAGAAATATTGTATGAATATTCCTTAAAAATAAGGTTTTAATAATTTTAGTAGTAGTAGCAGCCTGTTACGCACATTCTACTCAACAGTAGTAATATATTCCTGACAATGCCCTCGAGTTAAACCGAACTTTTATTTTGATGGGTTGCCGTGAATACCTTTACATTCCTGTGTGTATATGACATGATGATAGTTTTACTCAGATGAAACGGTCAAATGCTCATGAAGTGACTCTCAGAGCAGTTCTGGAGACGTTGTTCATGTATTTATATCCTCATTAGTGAGACGGCAGACGTTAATATCACCGGAAGCGCCAAGCGCGCTTCAGTACAAGTAGTACACAAAACCGCTCGTCTGCGCCATTCATTAACACATAGACACGCAGAATTCATATTTATATAGTCGTTTTGCGGCTTAATATTTACAAATACTAGTGGGAGTGGGAGTGTGCGCACGTTTGTGTGTGTTTGTGTGTGTGAGTGTGTTTGAGTGAGTGTGTTGCGTGCGCGCATCGGGGCGGAACTCCGCTGTGCGCGATGCAGAGAGCGCGACCATGTAATGTAGAGACAGAAATGACATGCCCTCGTGTAAATAAGATAAATAACATAAGGCTATTTAGTTTTGTTTAATTGCTTCATTACAGTTGAGCTATAAAATTATGATTTTTATTGTATTATTAATTAAATAACTTTTAAATAAACTTTTTAAACTTTTAACTTGTATTATTAATTAAATAAACTTTTTAAAATTGTATTATTAATTCATGTTTATCAGAAAAATCGCAGTTACATTTCCCCCCACATCATGCAGTCTGACAACAGAATGCTATGTGTTACATTTAAACAACTTATTTCTCCAAAATCTGTCTTTCTCAGTTCACTGCAGATCTTCAACTCAAACGGTGGATATAAACAGGAACTAATCGGCTGAATAAATCACATCTGAATGAGGCTTTCACAGATCTGCCATCATTCAGAAAGCTTTCACTGCAGCTGTAAATCACATTAAGAGTGCGGAAGTGCGCAGGCTCACAAAGTCATTAAGTGCCGTTGTGATTGCGAGTGTTGAGTGCATGTGGTTATTATTAGGTCAACACATCATTTAACTGCATTACAACACGTGTGCTTAGAAACACTCAGGATTTAAAGCTCTGCAGACGGACTGTTTCACAGCATATTCAGTCTAAAGCCGCACGATTCTGGATAAACTGCGAATCGCGATTTTTTTTGTCTCAAACAGAGATCGCGATTCTGAACTAAACAAAATAATGTGACAAAATATGAATTGCTGCAGTGTTTAGTTAATTTGAATGAATGATAAAACATTTTAATATACATGCGTTTAAAATATAATATATTTAATACACCAATTTTTAATATAAAAAAGTGGTTTGAGTGAATTATTCAATGACTCACTCATAAATAGTTCACTTGTTTCATCACTGGATGATAGGGCTGGGTTTTGACACAAATTTCACGATTCGATTCGATTAAATATCGATTATTTTGGATATATATCAGGTACACATGCCCAATTTTCTTAAGGAAAAAAATACTCTTAACTAATGCTGTAAAATATGCATGAGAGTCCGTTGGTACTACATTACTATAATATTGAAGGTTAAAATTTCTGAGGTAAATGTGACGTTACGTGACATATTGTTTACAAGCCGTTATATTGGCGTCTTTACGTGGCTGAAACACAGATTGAGCGATTACATGAGACAGGGTACGGATTGTAAAGTTGTACTCTTTCTTTTAACTTGCCTTCAGATGTTTAGTCATGTTTATTTCTGTCACTCACTCATTAGACACTTGCCGTCTAGTTGTAGCCAATACTTTTGTGTGATTTAAATATCCTGTGCATAGCGCAATCGTCTTTTACATCATGAGATTTTGGCCAAATGTATTAAACCCAATAAAACTGAGCGCCAATATAGCTACAAAAAAAACTTTCTAACCTGTAAATTGATGAAAACGTAATGCGATGAACTTGCTGCTTCAGATGCGGCCGTTCTAATGACGGAAAAAAACACTGATCTCCGTCATTCGCTCGTCAAAAACCAACTCCATTTGAGCATGATTTTCATAATTTGTTAAGTGCAAGTGTCTGATCATATATAAAGCCAAAATATCAACTCTAAAGACTATAGAATTATATAATAAGGGACTTTTGCATTCATGCCACATCTGAACTGCATTAAACAGTCTGTGTAAAGATGCACAAATGCCACTTCAGAAGCGCCACTATGTGCCACCTTTGCAAGAAAGCGTTATGCATTACTGCCTACTGCATAAATGTGGGAAAAATCCATGATGCCTTAAAAAATACAACGCTCAAGCACGATAAAAATAGTAAGGTAATAATAATAGTGAGATTACACAATTGTTAATTTTGTCTTGACAGTAGTTAAATTTATGAAAGTGTTTAAAGAAGATAACGTCTCTATTAAAGCTTGTTTTGTCACAGAATATAAAAAATATAACTTTTTAACTTTAACTTTTTATTCTCTGAATTCTGAGTTTAAGTGTCGCAATTCTGTTATTTGTTTTTTTTTTACGCCACGGAATAAAAACAAAAAAACGTAACTGGGACTTTTTATCTCACAATTCTGCCTTTTCCCTTGCAATTTTGATTTAATAAATCACACGATTCAAGCTTTTTTCTTAGAACTGCGAGATATAAAGTCAGAATTGTGAGGAATAAACTTTACATCTCGAAATACTGACTTTTTCCTCAGAAAAATCTCGTAAATTGGTAATTGTGGCTTTTAATCTCACCGCTTCTATATCTCAAAATTCTGACTTTTTTCCACAGAATTGTGAGAAAAAAAGTCTGAATTGTGAGCTAAAGCATTTTATGGCATAAACAAGCTTCCATACTAGTATTTTAGGATGCTGACAGTCCAACAGGTAAAGAACAGCATTAAAGTCAGCTGTATATTATTAAAGTCAGCATGAAATGACAAATAACCCCGTCTGTTTTCTAAATGCATATCATAGATTTTATAGTGAGCAATTCCTGCGTGCATACATTTAATTTTATAAAAATGTCATCAATAATCAGAATGTCATAACTGGATCTCTCTTAAAGCGCTTAGAATAAACAGACGATATCGTTTGCTGGTGTGGACACTAATATCTTTATCGTTATCTTTATAGTTATCGTTCTTGGTGTGAACGGGGCTTTAAGCTCCACCCCTCCAGCTCAAGCTCATCTGCATAGAAAGCCACGCCCACATCTTTACATCCAATCAACAACCGATGCACAGAACCAAGTTCCTGCCCTACATTTTTTCTTTATCGCTAATCCGTTACACTCTGATGTACATCGCAACATGGAAGAAAAGATCTGTCGCTACTTCAGTTTCAGCGTGACTTTAAAAACACATTTTTTAAACCTAAAAACATTAGTGGCTATTCGATAATTTGGACCCATACTATGTATTTTTTAGGGCTGGGAAAATAAATCGATGCATCGCGAATTGAGAAATGATTCAGCATCGATTCAGAGATTTTCCGAATGCATGGCGATTCTTTCTCGAGTCGATTCTGAGCTTAGTTGTGAACAGCAGATGGCGCTGCATGCTTCAGAAACAGCCAAATCCTTACACACACTTAAACCTAAAATAATCATTCATAAGATTCGAAAAGGTTGAAGCGAATCACAAGGGTGTTCACAGTGGGCTGTGTTTACATTAATCTGGCATCATAAAAGCATTAAGCAAGCAAAAGCCGAGGTGAAATTACAGACTCGGCTGAACACACAAGTGCTCTTCAGCTCTTCTTCGTGAGCATTTGAGTGTGCGGATAAAAACTAGAGTAGAGCGCCATCTGCTGTTAAAATATAAGCTCAGAATCATTCCAGAGAGAGTCGTGATGCATTCGGAAGAGTGGGCTCTTCTGGGAAACCCACAGGATGCATCACCAGAACGCCGTTAGTCGTCAGTCCGTCCATGTGACCGTCCGGATTCTTCCATTTAGTTGCTTTCTCCTGCGTGACAGATGCATCAGTTAGGAAAGTGCATGAGTTGATGAAATGTATTTCCCAAATGCAATAGTTAAGGCTGCTCTGTGCCTGCTTAAAATTGAGTGTCAAAATGCAACGTGTTTAACAAATAAAAGCAAGATTAAACTATGCGAGCTCTGACCCACTCGAAATCTAGTATCAAAGTATGTATTTGCTGTGTAAATGCATTCATGCCACATCTGGCATCGCGAATTGAGAAATGATTCAGCATCGATTCAGAGATTTTCCGAATGCATGGCGATTCTTTCTCGAGTCGATTCTGAGCTTAGTTGTGAACAGCAGATGGCGCTGCATGCTTCAGAAACAGCCAAATCCTTACACACACTTAAACCTAAAATAATCATTCATAAGATTCGAAAAGGTTGAAGCGAATCACAAGGGTGTTCACAGTGGGCTGTGTTTACATTAATCTGGCATCATAAAAGCATTAAGCAAGCAAAAGCCGAGGTGAAATTACAGACTCGGCTGAACACACAAGTGCTCTTCAGCTCTTCTTCGTGAGCATTTGAGTGTGCGGATAAAAACTAGAGTAGAGCGCCATCTGCTGTTAAAATATAAGCTCAGAATCATTCCAGAGAGAGTCGTGATGCATTCGGAAGATCTCAGAATCAGTCCACGAATCAATTCTGCATCGATTTATCATCGCAGCTCTAGTATTTTTGGCTATTGCTACAAATGAAGAGTTAATTTGCAAAAACCGATAAACGAGCTGATTGCCGTGCATTATTCTCCACATATAGCGCGATCTGATCCCTAAACACATTTTGTCCACTTTCAAGGCATCGGAAGTTCACGTTTTATAGCAGAAGCCGACAAGCACCCTTGTTGTTTTTGAACAGAAGCCGATAAGTCCATTCTAGCGAATCAGCGCGCTATATTCAGGTCAGGTGACAAGGCTACTTTCACTCTGAAAAGACGTGCTAGCTGAGAGGAGTCTCGTCAAAGCTGACTAAAAGTGATCGAGGATGGATCATTTCGACGAACTTGATGAAGCTGTGATATCTTCTTCAGGGTGAAAAAGGAAAATAAAAGCTGAAACGTTTTGTTACAATGTTGAGGGAAAAGCTCTGTGTATTGCGTGTAATCACATCCATACAGTTTATGATCACAACAACAACAACATTTGTCAGGCGTCTACATTGTCATCTGAGGAGATTACAAAGATTAAACAAGTGTGTTTTAAACTCTAAAACATGAAATGTGGAGTTATCTGCTTTTGCTATAAAACAAACTTTTAATATGTAAAAAAAAAAACCATACTTTCAATTAACTTTAATTTTGTAAATTACCTGTATTTAAGTTATTATTACTTAATCAAAACAACCCAACTGCAGTTTGATTGATATTACTTGGAATGCGCAAAAAAAGTTATCGGTTTTTGCAAATGAACTCTTCAAATATACCCGTGCTACTTATGACTGGTTTTGTGCTCCAGGGTCATGGTTACATATTTTAACGATATTATTATTTCTATTAATAATTGGCGGCCCCCCTGCAAACCCCTGCTGTGATACTGACCCCGAGGAAGATGTTCTTGGAGGAGTCGAAGCCGGCGGCGTAGATGCGGGCGGTGTAGGGCGGGTTTCGGTCGCAGACGATCCTGCAGGCGAAGCGGGAGATGGTGCTGGGAGCCGAGCTCGAGTCCTCGCTCTCCTGGGATCCTCCTGGAGTGTCTGTCACCACGAAGTCTATGGGGCTCTCGGTGGAGCGGCCGATCTGCAGAAGATCAATCACACACATCTCACCCTTATATTAGGGACTGCTCAGTTTGACCCAGGAGTCAGTGTTGGGAAGGTTACTTTGGAAATGTAACAGGTTACTAAAATGTAACTAGTAATGTAACTTTACTTTAAACTGATTACTGTTTGATTACTTCTCTAAATTTCAATTGTTTTCAACTATTAATCATTTTCAAACATGTAAAGCAGGCAGAGTTAACCTTACAGCAGTATTCAACACTGATTACTGTCAAAATCCTTCATTACTTTAATTAAGATTATAATAATTTAATTTTAAAGCACAGCCACCACAAAATTAGACTTTAGCACCTCTTCTTACTAGGAGGTTAAATACAGATTTAAAACCAAAACAAGATATAGTTTAATAGTTATGATACTGTTTTTGAAAGCAAATCTTGCATAGCTATGACCGGAAACTCTGGCATCTAACAATGGCTTGGAAAAAACAGTTCATCTTAAAAAATAAAGCATATGCATTGACTCAAATAAATGTACTCGGCATAAATCTTTATCTGTTCATGCATGTGAATTTTCCTGGGAATCAAACCATGATGTTGCGTCATGCTCTACCACTTGAGCTTCTAGAAAACACACACATGCACAAAAAAAAAAAAAAATAATAATAATACAAAAATAATTGAAGAAACTTAAAAAAAAAAAGTTTTTTCATTTAAAAATAATAAACATTACAAATATTTAAAATACAGTTTAAAATATTCACAATTAAATTTTTAGAAAATATTTGTTAAATACAATTTTAAAAATCATGTTTTCAGTATTATTATACATTATTATTTATATACACATATGATTTATATACTATTATAGTTTTTGTTAATATTTTGAATTAGCGTTTATTTTCAGTTATTTTAATTTGTTAAATTTTTTGTTTAGTATTTTTTTTATGTGCTTTTGACATTTTTATTAGTTTGTTTTTATTTTGGGTTTAGTTTTACTAGTAATTTTAGTGCTTAAACTTAAACTCAATTTTACAAATTTTTATTTGTAAAAGTTTTATCCATGTAATATTTTGTATTTTATTTTATTTCAGCTTTATTTCAATTAACAAAAACGGTTTTAATCTCAAATCTCACCCTGAATCTAAAACTAATTAATATATTTAATTTTAAATTTTGGTAACGCGTGGGAAATATTATCGTTTACTAAAACAATTTTTTTAATTTAATGTTTACTAAAACAATGTTTTAATCTGCGGGAATTGTTAAGGTCATTGCACACTGAATCCGAAATTCTCATACGAAATTTTCGCACGTTAAAAAATAAATACAACCTCACGTTGTGTCAATCACATTTACACACTGCCTCCGAAACTTTCGTCTGTCATTATTCAATTTTTATTCAATAATTAAATTTAGCGCTTTTCACAATCCAAATCGTTGCAAAGCAGCTTTACAGAAAATTGTATGTTTCTACATTATATTTAGGAGTAGGTTATTAGTGGTGACTATGGCAGAAATGTACAGTAAAAATCATGCAGTTAGTTACAAACTACACGTAATCAAACAGACGGTGAACACTATTAACTGCAATGATTATATGTTGCAATTAAACTGCGATTGCGATTCAATTAATTTTGAGAGGTGTTTTGACAATTCAGAGCCACCGTAGAAGAACTCTCCTTCCTCTCTACGCAATCTCAGGACTTTTTAAACGAGAAGAAGAAAGAGGAATTGTTTCAATTTGTTTTGTGAATTTTTTCCGCAACTGATTAATTAATACGCATCGGACTCAGTGTGCAAGGTTTCTGTGTGTGACGAATTTTTAGGATGATGAATGCGAAAAAAATTTCCGGGCTCGGTGTGCAATGACTTTTAATGTTTTTTAAAAACTGATTTTTGTGTTTTGTTTGTTTTTTCATACTTTTTTTTAGTGTTTCAACGTTTACTGAATCCAGTTCACTATTTATTTATTGCGTTTTGCAGCATATACTCGCACAGACATTTGACGATTCACATTAGGCATATATATAAATAAATAGATGTAAACAATAATTTAATACTGATAAATCTAATTAAAATATCCAGTCTACTACCACTAGAGGAAGAAGATTTTAAGAACTTAATTACTTGGGGAATAAATGATACTTTTAACCTATTTCTTGAACATCTAGGAACACAATATCGTAGGGCTGGGCAAAAAAAAATAGATTTTTCTATTAATCGTTTTTTAAAATGATGTCGATTCGATATTGATTCTCAAAAGCCGCGAATCGATCTTTTCCGGGATTTATTTCAGCACACATTTAAAATAAGATCTGATTAACGTGAATCTTATCATTAGTCTTCTCCACTAGATGTCACCCTTGTTTATCTTGCGCGATGTTACAACAGAAAGCCTGTCCTTCATTCAGCGCTTATCATGGCCATACGCGTGATTCGCAATGCTCCGGTGAAATGCTACAGTAATACTATAAATCTGCGGAAGCATCTGATATCACGCATAAGGCGACATGATTTCCGCAATGAATAAATGGCGGATGGCGCGGCGCACTGTTTTGTTTACTACACGCATATTAAAGCGCGGATGACGCTCGCGGTGTTTTCAGCTTCTGCCGTCATGTTTTATGCCTTCATCTGATTACCAGAAAAATTAAGAACATTTTATAGGGCCCTATTATTGTTTAAAAAAGGACCCTATACAAAAAAAAGTATAGGTTTAAAATACAGGCATGTGGCTTAATTTCTTTTTATTAATTCACTATTTGTAAACTTATGTTTACTGTTCATTTTTTAGAAATATCAATAGCATTTGTATTAAAACTATATTCACTGAATGTAATAAAAAAATCGAGAATCGAATCGAATCGAGACATCTGAATCGATACCCAGCCCTACAATATCGTCGACCTGATGGTAACAATTCAAAGGTATACGATAAAGGATGCCTCTTATCCTTCACAATTATGTTAGCCTTATTTAACACTCTTTCTTTGTACATACTCTCTATGCTCTCTAATTTTGTGCTATCGACATTAAAAGACAGTAATTTCTTTAAGAAGTGCATTCTCTGTTGTAGCTTACAGTCCATGCATCCCACCTGAGTTTATTGTCCAACATTATACCAAGGTATTTATATATGTGTCCCTGCAGCACAAACGCAGTCATAAGTAGCACAGGTATATTTGTAGCAATAGCCAAAAATACATTGTATGGGTCAAAATTATAAATTTTTCTTTTATGCCAAAAATCATTAGGATATTAAGTAAAGATCATGTTCCATGAAGATATTTTGTACATTTCCTACCGTAAATATATCAAAACTTAATGTTTGATTACATCTCAATTTCAAAAAATTGACCCTTATGACTGGTTTTGTGCTCCAGGGTCACAAATTGTTACTAACTGAATTTGCTCCCCATTAATTAATGTAGGATGGGTTACACTTTGCTCTTTCTCTCTAAAATCGATAACCATCTCCTTAGCTTTGGAGATATTTACGAGGAGATTTGAATTTTCGCACCAATTTAAAATCTAAAACAGGCCCATGTTCTTCCTCCCCATCATGTAAAAGGCTCACTAAAGCAGTATCATCTGCATACTTTACAATATGTCTGTCAAAAGAACTCACACAAGAATGTGTATATAACATAAATAATAACGGTGATAATACACATCCCTGGGGAGCTCCGACCGAAGTGATCATTTTATCTGAACTAGATGCTCCTATTTTAACCTGCTGGACTCTGAAACTAAGAAAACTGATCGGTGTGTTTGACCTGGAACATGTCGGTGTTGTTATCGTGGCAGTACTCCACCACAACCGTCTGGTTCCTGGAGAGGGTGAAGGAGATGCTGTGCTGCCCCCTGCTGTTCACCGCCTGCAACGAAAGGTCAGACGCAGCGTCACTATCCCACAATGCACCGCGTGCAATGCACTAAAGCGTGAAGGAAGCATGCACCTTGCTGTCCTGTGGGTTGCTGAGGATGTGCACGGTGCTGGGCTTGACGCCGTTCGCTTTGGCCCTTCTGTAAAGAGCGAAGCGGCTCCTCTTGCGACCGTGGTCTCCTCCGGGAAGAGAGCCATTATACCTGCAACACAGCAGCACAGACGCTAAACACTGGAGAACAACCTGCTTTACAGCATTATAGCATAGAATGAGTAACCTTATAAAACGGAGAGTTCCGGTCCTTGATTCTGATTGGCTGAGCCACGTTCGAAGCTGTTGTAAATTACTCTACAAAGTAACATACACCTTTGTTTACTTCTGTGTGTTGCTCGGCAACCACTTTGTAGCAACCACAACTGTTTCTGAGGAGCTACATTGTTTGGTGGAAGAATACTGTTTTTATTAATATCATTACACTTTATTTGCTCTGTTTTATTTTGTGAAACCGTACTACGTATATGGAATAACCGTTTTATAAAAGCAATAATCCCCGTGAAGCCGTGGTTTACAGTGAATTTATAACAGTTAACAATATAACTGTTATAAATTCACTGTAAACCACGGCTTCTTGGGGCTTATTGCTTTAATATATCACAATATAGATATGTTTTACCTTCGAAAATGGTGCAACAACTGGTTATACTCGATAAACAGTAAATTAACTGCTTCACAAATGAAAGGTGCTTCATCCCACTTGATTATTTTTCCTTTTTTTTTATGTGGACTCAAATCAAAGCATCACACGATTGATTCATCGATCAAATGAATTAATCGATTTGAATCGTGTGATTCACATTATGAACAAACTAAAGATAAACTAATATTATAAAAAAAACAAATGACTGATTCTGATCGAATTTGCACAGTTTTGCATTTTTCATCTAAAACAAATAAAAACAAATTTTGTTAACTGAAATAAAACTGAAATTTTAATCAATTGTTTATTTTTTTGGCTTTTTTAAATATATAAAGCTGAAATTTTATATAAGATGACTCATTAGTTCCCTTAGTTGCCAGAGTAACATTTCTAATTTTCATTTAGTATAAGATGTATAATTACTAACTGGAAATAAATCTAAAACAAAATCTATTACAACATTTTTGTTAATTGAAAAAGCTGAAATTAATAATATCTGGTGAAAACTTTTTTCAAAACTTTCAAAAGCTACATTTATGATTTAAATGTAATCACTAAAATGACTAACTGGAAATAAAATTAATTAAAACGAAAATTGAACAAAAATTAAAACGAAACGAAATTAACACTAATAAAAAAAAATTAAAATTAGTGCCGTCAAACGATTAATCGCATCCAAAATAAAAGTTTTTGTTTACATTATATATGTGTTCTATGTATATTTATTATGTATATATAAATACACACACATGTATATATTTAAGAAAAATGTTTATATATTAAATAAATGTATATATGATATAAATTACATGAATACATATGCATGTAAATATTTTTAAAATATATACTGTATGTGTGTGTCTTTATATATACATAATAAATATACACAGTACACACATATATTATGTAAACAAAAACTTTTATTTTGGATGCGATTAATCGCGATTAATCGTTTGACAGCACTAATAAAAATATAAAATTAAAATGCAAACTGAAAATGTAAAGATAATAATTGAATTCAAAATTTAAAACTACAATAGTATATAAATAACATTAAAATGCCACTGTTCTAGATTTATATAGTGAATTTACAGTAAGTCTCCAAACTTCATATCACACAATGTCTAGCAAATATCTCTTAGTTCTCCTAGTTTTGAGTTGTTGTTTTTTTGAGACATAACATCCCAGTCTATATTTCTGCATCGCTCTTCCGTGTAAATCATGTTTATACTCTGAAAAACAAAATTAGTATCACAAATTCTGTCGCCATCAATGATAAACGAACACTTCTGATGATATCAGGCATCTATTAGACCTCCGTGAAGTTGGCACCCCATAAAAAGAAATAATCATCAAAACTATGCCATTCGTTTGTGCTACGTTTGTGCTGATTTGTGCCGCAAAAACGAACATTTGTGCTGGTTTGGTGTTTGAGATATTAAACATTATTTTTTGACCGTGTGACGTCACTCTCCACCCCATGTTGCCAAAATCGCTCCAAACCAGCGCAGTTCGTTTGTGCTCGATTTGTGCCCGTTTGTGCCATTAAAACAAACACTGCATCTATTTTCCTTCCTTAGATATAACCAAAATATTTTCGGGAGCTGTGACGTCACTCTCCACCCCAGTTCGTCTAAATCGCACAAAACTGGTGTCATTCGTTTGTGCTCGATTTGTGCCGGTTTGTGCTGTTAAAATGAACATCAAATATATTTCCCCTTCATAGAAATAACAAAAACAATTCTGGGCAGTGACGTCACTCTCCACCCCATGCCTTTCAAATCTCTCCAAACCGGTGGTGTTCGTTTGTGCTCGATTTGTGCTGGTTTTTATTGAATTTGCTGTATTTTATGAACATGTGCATGTATATTTTACATTTTACATATATATATTTTCTTTATATTTTTGTTATTCATGGTGCGACCAAAAATTATTTTGCTGTATTTTTATATTTAGCATATTTACATATATATTTTTTCATTTATATTTTTATTTTCATTATTCATGGTGCAACCAAACAAAAATGTATTTTGCTGTATTTTATGTACATCTGCATGCATATTTTATATTTTACATTTTATATTTTACATATTTTTAGGGTATTATTGCCTTCTCTGGTTTTTACTAAATCACAGTCATTTAAGCTTCTGATATGATGTTTTATGGTGTTTTTCAGAGCTCAATAATGTCTGTCCACAGCAGCATCTCTTTTCATGCTCTATAGAGGAAAGAACAACATGAGGGTGAGTAAATGACAGATCGCTCAATTATGATTGAATAAAGAGTCATCATGAACAGATTCACTCTAATAAATCAGCAGACATTCACTCCAGATTGTGAGCCAAGTGCAGAATGAACCCAGATCAAACCCTCAGACACCGAGGTGCCAGATTAGGACTGGAAGCACTGGAAACTCCAGATTTGAGGATATCGAGAGGAAATCGCATGCATGTGACGTCCATAATAAGTCCAGGAGACGGCGCGCCGGAGAAAGACGCTTTTGTTCACACGCGCTCACAGCTGCGCTTGCACTGACGCTTGTTTACAGAAACCCAGCGCTTTAGTGCATTTTAGTGCATATGCACATATCACACCAATTCTGCTGTTAAACAAGCCAGAGCATCCAGAGGAGCGAGTGCTGCAAACAACGCATCGACTGCATCCACAGCGGTCAAAGTGGCACTTCAGCACTGCACACACACACACACACTCACAATGAAATATTCAAACACCTCTTCTTCCTCTATATAGTGGCATTCTGACCTGACAGTGGGTTTCTGTTGAGATGCACCAATGCATGTGTTCATGTTGAGCCACAATGCACAGAACAATGACATGCCAGGGCGTTGCTATGTGGTTGCCAGAGCGTTGCTATGTGGTTGCCAGGGCGTTGCTATGTGGTTGCCAGGGCGCTGCTATGTGGTTGCCAGGGCGCTGCTATGTGGTTGCCAGGGCGTTGCTATGTGGTTGCCAGGGCGTTGCTATGGGGTTCTCACTCTCTGGACCAAAAGTCAAATCACTAATATAGCGCTTTATACAATGCAGATTAGGGATGCACGATATTGGATTTTGCCGATATCCAATATGCAGATATAACTCATTTTGCCGATACCGGTATATTTCCTTTTGTTTTTAAACAACACCAAGTGTCTCCGCTGCAGAGATTCTAAACAATTTTTTTTTTTTAATTTTGGTTAGTTTTTAACAATAACGTATTTGTTAGAATTAAATAAACAATAATGACGTTCTTTTATAATGAGAGTACATTGAAAGCTTTGAAAATAATTATAAATCAACTATAAATCAATCATTTTATTTAAAGATTTAACATTTGTAGACGGTCTAAATAAAAAAAGTTGTAAACATTCTGAAAATCTTTCAGAGCTCATAATCTGTTTGAAAAAAAGAGAAAAAAATATATATATTACACATTAATAAATAAATCTGTATATATAAAATTATTTAATTTACAAGTGTCATGTTTGTGATTTTTATTAATGTAAGCTATATCTTCTGACCTCTAAATCAAAACATACTCATGATTTTACGACATCAATTACTGCTTTATTTAATCAGAAATACAATCTTAATGTTATTGCCATTATCGGCTGATTACGATAATATCTTGCATCCCGAATACAGATTGATTCAAAGCAGCTTCACAGAAATAAAACAGGATGTTTCCATCCCAAATTTAATGCGTAAAACTGGAATATCGCATAAAACACCTAAAATAAAGCATTCAATGAGTTTGAGACAACAAAACAGCTACTTCCTGTGAAACTAGCGCCAAATATCAGAAAGAAAAATGGAAGTTTTGGCTCCTTTCTCATGCATAATAAGTGGCTCGCATTGCAGATGAAATGCAATAAACACATGTTATCTTGTATTTGGAGGGTGGGATATTCTGGGATGCCATTACGCCGACTTTGGCTCAGGCATTTCAGAACGACTAAACCAACGTTTCATATGCATGTTTAATGCGATCGGCCCGCTGGTTAGCAGTTCGTTATTATCTGTTGAGGCAAAGTCACATGACTTTTTGATGCACATCAAATAATTTATTTGGTAAATCTGCTTCTATCATAGTTTACACGTATGACGACTTCTCAATTGAGTGCATAAGATTTTTATGCACATTTTAAGATTTGATGTGCATTTTGGCATTACCATCCAGCATTGAATGTGCAATATCACAAAATATGCATAAAAAAAATTGGGGATGGAATATGTTGTAAATTCATCAAATATGAAATTAATTCAATTTCAGCTCTACAGAGCTGACAGCAGTGTCATTATTCAATGCAGTTCAAACAGCATTGATTAAATTCAGTTCAATAACTGTGTCAAAATAATTGATCTTCTAAGTTCTAAACTCTTAAAAATAAATGTTTCAAAAGTGATTTTTACAGTGAATAACCATTTTTTGGTTCCCAAAGAACCTTTCAGTGCTTACACTTTTATTAATAATGCTTCTTTATTGGCATTGATGGTTCCATTAAGAACCTTTAACATCCACGGAATCACTTTATAGTGAAAAATAAAGGGTTTCTTTTCATAACTGATCACTGAAAGGTTATTTGGCAAACCAAAAATTGTTCTTCTTCAATGGATTTAACTCAGAAAAAGTGGAAGAACCACTTTTTTTCTTAGTGTGAGGAACATTTTAATCATTTAATAATCATCTTTTTCCACTATGAAGGACCTTATAAGGTTCCACGGATGTTATGAATGCCAATGAAGAAGCTTTATTTTGAAGAGTGTAGATGTGGTTCAGTTTGATCACTTAATAAAGTAATAATAATACAGATGCATGCTGTAGCAAACACAACTAATGATATTTTATAGACCGTTTCACTTCAAACTGCTCTCAAGTGGCATTATTAATTAATATTAATACAAAAGCAAAGCATAACAACAACTAAATCCATCATGCATGCAGCCGTATGAAGTGCTCCTCAGATTGTGTTGTAATTGCATGTTTAGTAGCATGTTGCTGGCGCATGATTTGAGCGTGTGCAGATCAGAGGAGTTCCTGATGTGACACAGACACATGTGGGTGGAAACATTTCACGCTCCGCTTAATAACACCCTCATATCTCAGAATGAGTCGTGAATCCGGGATATCTGGCCATCGTTCGGCCGATACCAGCGCCTGATTGGCTGATCCCTCAACCCAAATAACACATTTCCTAATCCAGCTTTCTAACAAAGCTGACATTGTTATACACTCTTAAAAAGGGGGTTTCACAGCAATGCCATTTTTGGTTCCTGCTTTCAGTGAAAAGTTCCAAAATGAGCCACGGAATATTTGTGAGACTGAATGATGAATGTTTTTGATGAATTGCTCCTCTATTGTAAGTTGCTTTGGATAAAAGCATCTGCTAAATGCATTAGTGCAAGCATTCTGAGATTATCTGCTTACATTAAAAAAGACACACTTTTTGCATGCAGTAAATGTGAAATATAAAAAGTAGAAAGACTGAAACAGTGTTTTCTTGTAAAATGTACTTGTTTTATTTATAACATCAAAAAAAATGTATAGTGTAATTTTATATTTTCTTTTTGTTATTATTATTATTATTATATTTTTGTCAGAACAAGGTACACTGAAAGCATTCTGTGATAGAAACACATTGAATTGGATGTGAAATATTGAAAGAATTAAATTGTGTTTTCTTGTAAAACATACTCCAATCATTTTTGTTCTATTTACAATTTAAAAAAAAAAAAATTCTACAATGTATGGACATGTTTGGTATCATAACACTAAACGTAATGCAATTTAACAAATATTGTGTAAAATAAGCATTCAGTTTCTTATACGCCTCGTTTTCTATCATCAAAAAGTTTTCATGTAAATAATAGTAATAATATAAATGTGATGTAAATATGCCATGCTAAAGATAAGATTATATTTATTTACAATTTATGGACATGTTTGGTTTTCATTATCGTTGAATATCGTTAATTAAATGTTAGTGCATTTTTAATAAATACTGCGTAAAAAATGCATTCAATATGCTACACGTCTGGTTTTCTATCATTATTAAATATTATTTTAATGTAAAAATATCGGTTGACTACAAGTGCAATTTAATAACGTTATTTAACATTATAATAGTAATAATGTAAATGTGCCATAATAATAAGGCTTAGATGTTCTGTGCATGCGCTTTTTTGTTTTTTTTTCAATTTATGGACGTTTGGTTTTTATTATCTTTAATATCGTTAATTAAATGTTAGTGCGTTTTTAATAAATACTGCGTAAAAACAGCATTCAATGCCCTAAACGTCTTGTTTTCTATCATTAAATATATTTAAATTTAAATATCGGTGGACTACAAGTGCTAGTTAATAACGTTATTTAACATTATAATAGTAATAATGTAAATGTGCCATAATTTTAAAAATATATATATTTAAATTTAAAAATATCGGTGGACTACTAGTACTAGTTAATAACTTTATTGACAGGTTCACTCCCACTGGCCTCCTTCCTGAACACTAATGCGCTGGTTAACCACAACCACGATGACTAATGGAGATGCTAGTGATGTTAATAACAACACAAATAATGTATAGCCTAGTGTTTAATGTAAATGTGATGGAAATATGCTTTAAGTCGATAATCGGTATTATAGGTCAGATCAGAAGCCGATTAATTCATTCATCAAGACTCGGTAACCGTGAATCCGTAGTAAACGCGAATCACTCACCCGAGAATCACCAGTTCTCCGTATTTCACCAGATCTTTGGAGCGGTCGGGGTCGTGTTGGTTCGGTTGCAACATGGGACCTGCGCTCCGTTACTCCGGTCCGCGGATCGAGCCCTGGAGTCCGCGCGAGCCTCTCAAACACACCGAGCGCTGGTTTAGACGGAAAACGCGCGTCAATCTCCGCACAGCGGCTGTCGCGAGCGCATGGCTCTTCCGTGACCCGTAAAACGTGAAAATCCGGATCGAATACGTTCCTCTGCTCCAGAACTGAGCGAGCGGCGGCGGATCAAAGAGTGGCTCGCGGCGGAGTGGACCGTACCATCAGCGCGGCGGGGGACACGCGCAATAACTTTCTTTCCATTTGACTTTCTTTCCGCGTCCAGGATGATTGTATATTATTGATTTTGTGACATATCGTAGACTTGCGTCTTTATCTGAGAGCCTTGAAGGATTAAAGTGAAGTTTATGTTTTTATTCACGAATCTGTGAATCCCTCGCCCCCCCGCGTTGCGCTCAGTCACGTGTCCCGGATCGCTTTGAGCATTACGTCAGTGTAAAATAGTGTAAAACTGATTCTGAAGTCGAACATAATCGAATATGGATCATAGAGGAGACGCTAAACATAGCTTTAGAAGTGATGGAAGTGATGTAATGACATATTTCAGTAGTCATGGGATCACAAAAAGAGAAAAACAATGTTACAAATGTAGCCTAATATAAATGCATGTTAAAGAGGAAATACTCTAAACCAATGTTTCATTTCATAAAAGGCAATTTAATTTTAGTGTTTAGTGCATTATTTAAACCATGTACGTTTGGTTCATGTGCTTTGTATACAACAGAACATTTTTCTGCGTGGTTTTTATTTTCATTTGCATATAATAAAATAAAATGCCAATGTAAATAATACGCTTTTTATCTCAAAATTAAACTTAAATTAACTTATTTTTGCTAGTTTTAATGAAGTTACCACTAGTGCTATTTTAGTATCACTATTGATTTTTTTATTAATATTTTAAATCAGTTTTTATTTTTATATTTTCTGTTTTCATTTTGATTTTAGTTAATGTTTTGATGTTTTTTGGTGTGTTTTATCTTTTTTTTTGTAGTTTTTGTTTATATATATATATTAGTTTTACTTATTTTAGTATATTTAATGTATAAGTTAAACTAAATTAAAATGAGAAATGTTGCCTTGACAGCTAGCTATATATATATATATATATATTTTTTTTTTTTCAGTTAATGTTCATTTCATTTCAAGGAATGTGTTTTTTTTAGTTGCCGCAACACTTTTAATCCTGTCTTATCATTAATATAAACATCAAGTGGTTCTAATTACATTTGAAGTATTAATAACTGAAAATGATTAGTTACAGAACTGAGGCTGTGGGAAAAGCCCAGAGGACCTCCTGCTTATAATTAAGGCATTATGTTTCAGATATTATGATAATAGTTGTCATATATGTTTTAAAGTTCCAGTGCATGATGGGAAGGTAGAAGTGTTTGTTCAAATGACTCCATTGGAAGGTCAGGAGAACATTTGGACAAGAATGTGAGCAAAGGTCATCAAAACAGCGTCTTATTCTTCTTCAGTTCATACAGAATAATAAACGGAGTCTATAGCATGTTTGCAGCATTCCATCAGCAGGAAGGAAGGAAGTACAGCTCAGACGACTTCCTGTCTGATTGCTTGCTGCTTTAGAACAGAATAAACAGCAGTTCATCGCCACGGAAACAGAAGAAACACTTCCTGTGCTGTAGAGCGATCCGCTCGTCCACTACTGAGGGTTACTAGATAGAGACAGATAGATGATGGATAGATGGATGGATGGACGGATGGACGGATGGATGGATGGATAGACGGATGGATGGATGGATGGACGGATGGATAGATAGATATTTAGATTACTTTAACTTTTATTAAAATAAAAATGGAAATGTAAAAATACAAAATAATTCAAAATATTACTTAAAAATATTAAAAAAACAACTTTTTTTCAGTTATATCAAACTGACTTATTTATTTTTTTAAATATATATATGAGAAACTTAATCTTATTTTATCTCATCTATTTGCCAAGGCAACATTTTTCATTTGCATTTCATTAGTTTAGCTTGATGTACTAAAATAACTAAAACTAAAACTGAAACAAAGATTAATGAAAACGATAGACGTATTTAAAAAATGAATAAAAAAAAAAAGAAAAAAAAAAAAGCAAACAAACAAAAAACATCAAATCCATCACTGGAGGAAGCGTTATTATGGATTATGGACTCAATGGTATTTGAGTTAAAAGTGTCTTAATGCTGGATTAGTTTCAGTTTTTGTCTTCTCCAGATGTTAACTGATGGACTGGAGTGCTGTGGATTACTTGTGGATTACTGTGATGTTTTTATCAGCTGTTTGGACTCTCATTCTGACGGCACCCATTCACTGCAGAGCATCCATTGCTGAGACACTGATGCAATGCTGCATTTCTACAAACCTGATGAAGAAACAAACTCATCCTGATCTTGGAAGGAGACCATTTTCAGTAGAATTTTATTTTTGGCTGAACTATTCTTCTAAAACGTGTTGATTTGAACCCGTCTCACGCAGGTCCAGTGAAACCCCAGACGGAGCAGCATAGCCAGTGTGTGTGATGTGTGTATTAACACACACTAATGATGTCCTGAGTGAGTCTATGGGCCGGTTGATGAGCGTCTCTCACTCGTTCGCTGCTGATAAACCTGTCGTGTGGGAGAAAACTTTATGATTTAGTTTTATGCTGCCAAATATGGCAGAGATCAATGCTGCGATGTTTCAGGTGGAGAAAAGCAACTCAAGAAACACACAAAAAGAAACGAATCTGAAGTTTCCAGTGTTTTCTGAGATTTCTGTGTTTCCACGCCGCGGCTGAACCAGATTAAAAACAGTGGCGTGAAAACCAGTACTGTAACGTCTGAAGTGCTGAGAGAAGAAGATCCTCAGAAACAAGCAGATGTTCAAACATTATCATCAACTGTTATGGTGTTTTTCTAAAATTGTATAGTGCATGCAAAATATACAATACATGCAAAAAAAAAAAATCTAAGTTATATTAAAATTAAGATCATTGGAGTATGTTTTACAAGGTAACATTTCAGTTTTTCTACTTCAGCGTTTCACACATAATTTACCTGTTGCATTAATTTACTTGCTGATTCTTCGTAATTTTTTTGTTAAATTTGAAAGTGAAAATTGTTTCACCATCAATTTCTTTCAGTGAATAATGCAAAAATAAATAAATAAGATAAACAAATTCTAATTTCTAAAATGTCTAAATTCTAAACCAATTTTTATTTACAAATGCATGATACGGCTGGATGTTTAGTGTAACATCAGCAAGCCTTTAGTGTGTGCAGGTCAAACTCACTGAACAAACTGTAACTCTGTACAAAAAAAAAAAAAGTAGGCTAAATTGGAGCATGCAATGTTACCTGCCATTTCTATTTTTCCAATTATGTGTGAAATTTACCAGCAATTTCTGAGTGAAAATAGTTTCTACATCAATTTCTTTCAGTGAAAAATGCAAGCAAATAAATAAATTAATAATAATTTTAAAGTATTTATACATCTTGGGAACTGCATTTATTTTTTTAATTACAGTGGGAGAAATTTAATTATATGAAAATAATGTCACGGTACAAATTAGCTTATTTTCCTCAAACCAAACACGTCATCACTCATTCAGATATACGTGAAAGCTCCTGCAAAAACACTCAGCAGGCAAACCAAAACAAAAGAACATTTAAGGAATAAATTGAAGGGAAAACAACTTTTACTGCACCTTTCTTCCTCAGTATCTTGTCTTGTTTTCTATTGCAAACGTCTGAAGATTCATAAATCAAGATACACACTCTTACAAATAAAGCTGCTTCACAGTGATGCCATAGAAGAACTTTTTTTATCTAAATGGTTCCATAAAGAACTTTTAGAACCTTTCTGTTTCACAAAAGCTTCTTTGAAGGTTCTTCAGATTATAAAAAGGTAGGAAAGAGACGGTTCTTTGACTCAATGGTTCTTTGTGGAACCAAAAATGTGAAGAAGCCTTTAAGCACGTTTGTTTTTAAGAGTGCATTTACCGGAGAATCAAAATTACAAATTTTTTTTAATGAGAAATGCATCAAAATGAAGTTAGTTTATGATTAAAACAAGAACAAATAAGACCTAATCTGCCAATGGAGTAAAAAAAAAATCAACTCAACCTAATTTTCATTGCACTGGCAGATATTTGTTCTCGTTTAAATCATAAACTCACTTCATTTTGTTCAGTTTCTCAGAAAACAAGACTTCTTATCTTCATTCTGCATCTTCAGATTTAAGGATGTTTGTACTGGAAAACAAGACAAAAATACTGTTTTTTGCAGTGCATGCAATGAATTTTGTTCCTTTTTATGCCTTAATTTGTGAAATCAAAACACTTTAAGACCCGCAGAAACCACATTCCTCCACGCCAAGAAGATGCGATCACATAGTACTGGATATATATATATAGATTTTATTATTTTTCAGCATAACAAATGTGTCAAAATAATAAAACAAAAGCATTAATTTAGTAAGAGAAAAAGAGGCAAAAAAAAAAAAAGTAGGCTAAATTGGAGCATGCAATGTTACCTGCCATTTCTATTTTTCCAATTATGTGTGAAATTTACCAGCAATTTCTGAGTGAAAATAGTTTCTACATCAATTTCTTTCAGTGAAAAATGCAAGCAAATAAATAAATTAATAATAATTTTAAAGTATTTATACATCTTGGGAACTGCATTTATTTTTTTAATTACAGTGGGAGAAATTTAATTATATGAAAATAATGTCACGGTACAAATTAGCTTATTTTCCTCAAACCAAACACGTCATCACTCATTCAGATATACGTGAAAGCTCCTGCAAAAACACTCTGCAGGCAAACCAAAACAAAAGAACATTTAAGGAATAAATTGAAGGGAAAACAACTTTTACTGCACCTTCCTTCCTCAGTATCTTGTCTTGTTTTCTATTGCAAATGTCTGAAGATTCATAAATCAAGATACACACTCTTACAAATAAAGCTGCTTCACAGTGATGCCATAGAAGAACTTTTTTTATCTAAATGGTTCCATAAAGAACTTTTAGAACCTTTCTGTTTCACAAAAGCTTCTTTGAAGGTTCTTCAGATTATAAAAAGGTAGGAAAGAGACGGTTCTTTGACTCAATGGTTCTTTGTGGAACCAAAAATGTGAAGAAGCCTTTAAGCACGTTTGTTTTTAAGAGTGCATTTACCGGAGAATCAAAATTACAAATTTTTTTTAATGAGAAATGCATCAAAATGAAGTTAGTTTATGATTAAAACAAGAACAAATAAGACCTAATCTGCCAATGGAGTAAAAAAAAAATCAACTCAACCTAATTTTCATTGCACTGGCAGATATTTGTTCTCGTTTAAATCATAAACTCACTTCATTTTGTTCAGTTTCTCAGAAAACAAGACTTCTTATCTTCATTCTGCATCTTCAGATTTAAGGATGTTTGTACTGGAAAACAAGACAAAAATACTGTTTTTTGCAGTGCATGCAATGAATTTTGTTCCTTTTTATGCCTTAATTTGTGAAATCAAAACACTTTAAGACCCGCAGAAACCACATTCCTCCACGCCAAGAAGATGCGATCACATAGTACTGGATATATATATATAGATTTTATTATTTTTCAGCATAACAAATGTGTCAAAATAATAAAACAAAAGCATTAATTTAGTAAGAGAAAAAGAGGCTTGGTGTGATTTGTGCGGTTTGCGGTCACGGTTCGAGGAGTCGGTACCAGAACCCGTGATAGAAACGGGTTAAGACGTCTGGATTAGATCAGAAACACAAGATGATGCTGTTTTCATTCCTCAAATCACACTCGTTCCCAGCTTCTCCACACGTTTAGTGGAGAACCTCCAGAAAAGGCCAAAAGCAGTGTGAATATGGAAGGCCTATAGATTCAAAAGCTCCTTCATGGAACACAATCAGAACGTTCTGCTTGGACTGGTGAGTTTATTTCAAAGCGATTTTCCCGATACATTCGTTAAACGTGATGGCACAGAGGTAAACAAACAAGCTGCCATTTTTGGACTGACAAACCAGATCTTCAGACACAAAACCCCATTTTTTTTGACCCCACAGCTTCTGAAAGTAATACTTTATGGACATTACAACGCAACAGGAGGACTACAGAACGGGCGTACGAAAGAAAAGTCGGGTTACATGTCAACGAAATCAAAGACAGAGAATAAAACCGAACTTTACTGACAGAAGCCAGAGTTATTGGTTAATTGCTTCTAGTTTGGCGTGTCTTCGACCCGCTCGCGTTAGGATTTGTAATTGGACGTGAGCCAGGTGAGTCCTTCGTAGAGTCCGTCGCCCGTCGTAGCGCAGGCCGGCTGAACGTACCAATTGCGATCTCTGATCCGAGTCAAACCCAGCTTCTCCTGGATCTCGTGCGGCTTCATGGCATCCGGAAGGTCTTGCTTGTTGGCGAAGATCAAGATGATTGCGTCGCGCATCTCACGGTCGTTAATAATGCGATGCAGCTCCTGTCTAGCCTCGTCGATCCGGTCGCGATCCGCACAGTCCACTACGAAGATCAAGCCTTGGGTGCCGGTGTAATAGTGCCGCCAAAGCGGACGGATCTTATCCTGACCGCCCACGTCCCACACGTTAAACTTGACGTTCTTGTACGTAACGGTCTCCACGTTGAAGCCCACCGTCGGGATGGTGGTGACCGACTGTCCCAGTTTGAGTTTGTAAAGGATCGTCGTCTTTCCCGCCGCGTCAAGTCCAAGCATCAATATTCTCATCTCCTTGTTGCCGAAGATTTTCGAAAGCATCTTCCCCATCTTGTTGGCTGTGCATATATTAAGTTAGTTGCAGGGAGAGGAATGCAACTTTTTGGTTTTTGCAGCTTTGGCAAGCGACAATCACTCAGAAAAACACTTAAACGCTGTAGGTTTCGCAAAACTCCTACAGCACCGCAAACGACCCTCAAAAATCAGGAAAAAATCGTCCTAAAATAATATGTGTTTAGATCTGTGCCAGGCCTTTCTGGTTTCCTCAGACTTCCTTCTTGTGTACCGGCTGTCGGGTCGCCTTTTTTTCGCGCTCATTCCCTTCAGACGCGCTTCAGATCGTTTGTTCGGTCACAAGAAACTCCAAACGTCAGTCATTCATCCCGAGTTCCCCCTCTTCAGTCCCTGAAACACGAGAGAAAGCGGATGAGAAAAGGGAGGGGTGTCAAACACAACTTTATTCGTGTAGTTTCGCTTCGTGTTCTACTCGTACTAGGCGCTACCGATTTACCTCATAAAACAGCCCCGGCTCGGTTCGGTCCCTTCTGTTCCTCTCCGGTTGGTTTTTCGGTCCCGGTCGTGCTGCTGTCGGTGTTACCGGAAAAGGTGCGGAGCTGCTTCAGCCGCCACTTCCTCTCTTTCTCGCTCAGGCGCACTGCGACATTCGGGCGCTCGGATCCTACTACGGCGAAGGCTCTGCTCATTAATATTCATGACGCGTATGTTTGCCATTGGACAGACTGCGGATGCGTCAGCAAGGACGTAGTTAATATTCAACAGACTAGCGTTTGATACATTGGGATCACACCACCGAACAAGGAGAGTATGACTTCGTTAATATTCATGTATTAAAGAATTCGCCTTGAGACACATAATAATAATAACTTATATGTTTATTTAATATTTTCTACACTTGAACCTCTAACACTGGCACTCTCTATTCAATTTCTATTCTATCTTACTTGTTTTCTTTTTATTTATTTATTTAAAAAATAAACTAAAAACACTTGATCCTTTAACACACACTCTTTACAATACATGTCTTTACATACTTAAAGAGCAGTGAATGGGGGAACACCACAAATATATATTTTCTGAAAATTCCTATTTGCTCAAATAGCAAAAGAAAAGGCCACAATAGTGTTTTCATGACTTTCAAAAAAAAAAGGAAAAAAATTGAGAGAGACACCCTCGCATTAGCATTATTTGTATTTTGATGCAAAGGTGATATAATACAAAGTGTAGTGTTATAAATGTACATAAATAAATAAAAAAATCAAAATATAAAAAACATTCAAGGATTTACGATGCTGATGACCGTTAAACGCGTCATCACAGTCTTGTGAAAAGGCTCCGTTCTTTTTCTATTCTATCTACTTGTTTTGTTTTTATTTATTATATATATAAAAAAAAACTTGCTATGTGCGCTAACTGAGACTTATTACAGCATTTAAATATTATTGCTCTTTTGTTGATTTTGAATAAAAGCGTCTGCTAAATGCCTAAATGTAAATTTATTTTTCTTTGCATTTCTACTCTTCTCTAGCTTGTTTTCTAATAAACCTGATATTTGTGGGAAAAACAACGGCACGTTTTTTTTATGATTCGAGCAACGGAATCATGAGCTCATTAATATTCATGAGATGAGCGTACGGTCCTTCGCCGTAGTAGGCGTTATTAATACGAGTCAAGCCCGCTCTGAATTAAATGGACGCCATTGAGACTTGGAAGAATGTAATTGGGGTGTTTTTTAGAGGCTGTTTTGTTTAAAATACCGTTCAGATATGATATTTGCAGTGTTCTGAAACGTTTTAAATGTTACGGAGTTTTTGCGTCTCAGTGGCATCATGTGACGTCGAAGGGGCGGAACTCATGACGTCACATCGAGTTCAAAAATGCCTAATTTAAATAAAACACCAGACAGACCTATAAATACGTGCATATTTGCATTTTTTTTCCCTCAGAGGAACTGACTTCCACGTGTAGCAAACAAATTAAACTGCAACTGAAGTGGTCCATGTTTGTTTTATTTTTAAAGAATTCACGTAAAAGAGAACTCAGATATAGTTTTTCCTTTACATTTGTTCCTTTATATTAGGCTACGTGAACCCTGAACTCGAAGACATTTTACATAAAACCCAGAATCTGAAATATCCGAAATGCATTTCCAAGTAGCCTTTTATTTTATTATTAAATTCAGATCAGATAGCTTTATTGGCTTCAAATGTGCGTGTTTTTAATATATTTTGTTTAATAATTAAACAAAGAAAATCATGTGATTCAAGTAATACAAAAGTAAAGCCCGTTCCACAAACACTCCTGTAGAAACATAACAAACAAACTTAATAGATTGAATCTGCGTGTTCTTCGTTTAGATGCAGTAAACTAGTTTCACAAATAAGCCAGATTTTTTTTTCAATTCTGGTTGTTTTTGAAATAACAGAATTGTGAGATATAAACTCAGAATTGCGTGAAAAAAAGTTTGGATCGCAAGATACAAAGTCGCAATTAGGCTACCGCTATTTTTTTATCGCGTGGCTTTTAATAACTATACGTAATGTATTTCAAATAAATATCATATTCAATTTTGACATGTATGATTTTTGTGGGCCGCGTTACGCCCTCTATCGGTAACCAGGGAATGACGCCACTCGTGTTTCAGTTTGGTAGCGCAGTGCGCATGCGCAAAGCATTCGGCGTCCTTCTCTCGTCGCGAGACGCAACGCGGGTGTTGAATGCGTTGTAGCGCGGCTGTTTGACCACATGTCATCAACCGCATAAAACTTCGAAGAAGTTGTGAAAATATCCGCCGTTTAAACCCAGTTTCATGGAAGACTCTGGTAAGTATCCTTCCCGCCGTAGATTTCCCGCGACTCTCGTGCGTTTGTTTCTAGAAAACTCTGAGGTAAACGAGCGGCGTCGTTTGCTAGCAGTTTAGCTAGCGTGTGAAGAGAAGAGACCAGGCCAAAACCAGACCGTTTTCATAGTTTAATAACATGTGCTGGTTTTGAAACTTTGAAATGCCACTGAACGCGTTTTAAAGCGTGTTTTGATCGTAACTCGCAAACTAACTTCGACTAATCATCGCGTGGCGTTTGACAAAGAAACGCGATGCTAACATTTCACATAACTGTAAACAAGTCCTTCGTTGTTTCTCCGTTCATGAATGTTTTCCGTGGGCATCTTTACAGCATTTCTAAGTCGTTTGTACAGAGTTTGTCGAAAACTGACCGAAACCGTCGAAACACGAGTATCTTTAGCAGCGCAAAGCTTAAAAACATGCAAATTAGGCGTAATAATTATGCATTATCACGACTGGCATTTTCTGTAGAGTCTATTATATCACAGCTTTTTGTTTATGGTTAAATAGCCCAGGGATTTCGCAAATTAAGATCTTAAATCAGAGCAGAAAGTCTTAAATTCATAAAAGTCGTGGCATTAAATATTGCATGAATTGTTCAATTATTCAAATATTCAATAACAAATATTCTAAACATCCTCAAATCAAGATACTTTTACTGGAGATGGAAAATGAACACACGAAGTCTTGCTTTCTGAGAAATTAAACAAAGCTAAGTGAGTTTTTGGTTGATATCTTTCAATGGGGAATAAAAACTTCTTACAAGGGTAAATAAAAAACTGGTTATTACAATAAGTCTTGCATAGTATTTTCTTTACTTCAAAAACTATGTCTAAAAGGGTATTATTTTATGTATTTGAGGTCTGAGATGTGGGAATGGTGGGAATTTTAGGTCAGTGTTGCCGTCTAATCAGCCAATATTGTCTTAAATAGCCTGCATAGCACTTCATCTTTTATAACATGGGGTTTTGACCAAATATATTCAATCTTGATTATTTATTTTTTATGTAAAGTACCAGTCTTTTTATAACCCCTTGAACTCATTTAAGCCCATTTCGTGTCATGGTTTCCGCAGAGGATGTTAAATTGGACATTAGGCCTTGATATTAGAGGTGCTACCATAAGAAAAGCCTAATTTTGAGCAAGTAGGTTTCTATTAATTCATGTGCATCCATGCTCTTGTTTTCTTCATAGTAAGATGGCAGTGATGCACAAAGGAGATAGGTTATATAAAACTAGAAACTAATGTGCAAGCATGCAAAAAAAAAGGCTTGTGTGCATGTAAAATTGGCTTTTAGGGGCTCTGTATGTTAATGCCACTTGGAGAAAATCAGTGAAAATAAAAATGTTTACAGATGGCTGTACTATATACCAAATAGAATGCTGAAAAAAATGCTCTATGAACCATTCATGTTAAATGTGGACATTTGAGAACCCTGGTAGTCACGATGTTGCTTGGTTTTATATCATGTTATCTTCAGACTTGCATGATGTGTGTTTGATGTGTTTGTTTCAGGTGAGCCCATGACCGGGATGTTGGACACGAATGCCCCTGATAACGGGGACGCTCCTGCTATGGAGGGCACCGGGGCCGATTACGGCACAGACCCGACCGCGACCGACTGGACGGCTCCTCCGCAGGCTCCTCTGGCGAATCCAGAAAGCCACGAGTGCGAGCAGATCCAGCAGCCGTCTGCATTGGAACAAAACCAGCTGTACTCGATGGAGCATCTGAAGTGTGCAGCGGAGAACATCGACCACACAGCCAGTCCTGCAGACCCCGGTGTGGAGAGCCTCGGGCAGCAGACGGAGTCAAACGGACAGCAGGACGAGGCGAAGCCGGCCGGAGCGGGCGACTCGGAGAGCCCTTCCAATATGGAGCTGGAAGACGCTCCCAAAGAAACCGCAGAAGCGGAGGAACCAGTGGCAGATGCAGACACAGCCGCCACACAAGAATCTGAGTTTCCTGCAGATTACGAGCGGCTCTTTAAAGTTGTGGAGGATAATCCTGAAGACTTCAACGGCTGGGTCTACCTCCTGCAGTATGTTGAACAGGAGGTGAGTGTTTTTAATGCTAAAGCATTGCATACGGTGCAGACGTTCATCATTAGCTAGAACTCGCTTAAAGGGTTTAGTATAATTTTGCCAGAAAAAGATTTAGAATTTTTTTATCATATGTGACCCTGGAGCACAAAAGCAGT